CGTGGTTTAAAAACAGAGGTGGCGAGGGAGACAACAAGAGCAAACAGTTCAAGGTCCCTCTTTCTAAGAATTCAAGGAATTTTATTATTTCCTTAGAAAATATTGGTTCAGAGTTTTAGAACATACACAAGGAGGAAACGGGTTGAAGGGATTTGATGCTGAACTGATGGAAGCAGCTGTGAGTGAAAGCAACATTTTTTCTCTGGGTCAAACCTCATCAAATAGTTTCAGATTCATTAACACCTTTGATTCTGTAACACGCCAAAGACCAGTGGAAGCACAAACAGATTTCAAATTGCTCAGTTGTGGATTTTTGTTTCTAATTTCAACAGTTTTTTGACATTTTGACAGGAAATTACAGTAAGTAGGATTTTAGCTAACTAATCAATACCCAGTTATTTCACTTTGAGGGTGTTTATGGTTAGTGTCTAGACATTTCAAAGATGTTTTCTGTCTGATCATATTACTCAAACATCTGTGTCAATTATCTTGCCACGGGTGGTAGTTCATTCTTTCTTAACATTTAACAATTCCACCCTGCATCAACATTCCTGCCTCTCCTTATATTGTTTTTCATCAACTTAAACTGGTCACGTATGAAAACCCGGCTTTTGCTCCACAATAAAACACCACTTTTAGACAAAAAAATATATACAAAGAGAGGTAATATGGACACATAACTGAGGGGAGTGAACCTAAAGAAGAAGCGGAGCACAGAAAGTCAAGTTTCACTACCGTTGTTGTTGTGGGCAGACTCAAGAGGGCATAACTCACCCTATGGTGTCAAGCTTTCACTGTGCAAAACATATTCAGTACCTTTATTCATTCACATCCACATATAATACATGTTTTCTCATAAATGTATCTTGCAAACATAAGTTTAAGACAACATAGAGGGAGACTGAGATAATGCAATGACAGTCTCAGCCAAGATGGCCAAGACAGGGGCCCTTGACTCACTTGTCATTGAGTCGGTCAACACCACAAACCCTAAACCCATCATTCATCTCTGGATTTATTACTACACTTGCACTCTCCTCTTTAACCTTTCAGCTTAATCCTCAGAGAACAATTTCATTTCAAAGGACAATTTATGCACCAAAGATGTAGTAGATGTGTTTTCCGTGTGTTTTCCACACACCATATAAAATCATGTGCGGTGAGCAAATGGATGGCCCGAGTGCCTTCTAAATGTTTGTATTCTATGTGGGGTATGTACTCTAAATATAGTCCCCACGCTGATCTAAAAATGTGAGAACCTCTTCATTGGCATTCTCTCTTCTCACTTTTAAACTAAAATTACTTTACCATTGCATTATCAGCCAAATTCCCAGGGGTGCAATATTTTCAAAGACCACCAACAGCATCTGGCCACATATTATCCTGTCATAGCCAGATGCAGCTCCCCTGCATTCCACATAGGTCTCAGTAAACCCCCATCATTCCTTCCAGATTCTCCCAAGTCCTCTTGTTTTATAGAACTCCTACCTCAGACATCTACCAGTCCACATTAAAGCACAGGTGGAAGTTTGACAGCAGGTGTTTTTATAAGACTTTTAAAAAGGAAGTGGAAAGTCCTGGTATTTGTGCCCAAGCGCTTAATTATTGTTTTTAAGACAGGAGGGTGAAAGTTTAAATGACCAATTGTAAAAAATAAAAAAAAATAAAAAAAAAAGACAAAAGTAATAGACCCTTGAGGTTAGCTCCTTGCACTTTGCTGAACTAGAAGGGAAATGGCATGAATGAACGACACAAGGTGGTCCTTCCATTAACCTGTCACAGTGAGAAGTACTGGCGAAGGAGAGACTGAGAAAAAGAGGCCAAGGGAAAATACATGACCTATTAACCCTCAACAGCACCAATCCAAATGAATTTCCTAAAACTTTATATAGGTTCAAATAAATTCCGTACTTGTCTTGACAAGTTTTTGTATCGCTCTTGCTATATAGTCTGGAACCGAAACCCCAAACACTTTTTATTTCAGGTACTTACAAAAAGTTCTAATACACTTATGTTCCTTTACCAGTGATCATGTAAAACTGCTCAAACAAAACACATTCAAACAACTGATACTCAGCTGTTTATTTTCTACCTCTCTGCAAAAACAATGTGCTCAAGAACTGTCAGAAAGTGGTGCTGATGCATGCTCAGTGATCCAGGTAGATAACTCGAACAAGGTTGAGCCAAGTCCTCGAAAAGAGGATTTTACTTGGTTTCCCTTTACTCTCACACAAATGTATAGTTATTAAAACCTTGTTGGTAGACATGCGCTCATATTCATATTCTGTTCAACCCCAGCCGGCCAAAGAAGATGGCCGCTCGTCTGGTTCTGCTGGAGGTTTCTTCCTGTTAAAAGGGAGCTTTTCCTTTCCACTGTTGCCAATGTGCTTGCTCAGGATGAGAGAGACAACGTGAAGATTCAAAGCAACCTGCTGGCTTCCTTAGATAAATACATTTTAATAATTGGCATGCCTTGAGACAAACTTCTGTTGTGATTTAGCACTATGCAAATAAACTGAATTTAATTGAATTCATTGTTTTGGGTAAAATACAACCCAACATTTGACTTTTCAGTTTACAGTTTTACACTCCAGTTCAACAGGTGATGAAACTGCTCTGGTTTGCCAACATCTTTTGGAAAATAATGAAAGATTTTAGTAATTTCTCACCAGGAATTCAATGTCACTTGTGTTTGTGTCATATCTAAATGATGAATTATACAATTATCAACAACAACAAATTGGGCATTATACTCCTAAAAGAAGCAGCCATGTCAGTTTTCTTTATGCAAATGGTCAAATGTGCAGTTTCCTTTGTCTCTTTATATTCTGGAACCACCTTGTTGATGAGAGTTTGATCATGACACATGGATAGTTGTTATTTACAGTTTGCGTGGTCACAAAAGTCTGGGCTGCTCACATCCAATCACAGAGACTGGTTCCTGTGGACTACGACCAGAAGGCAAAATTTACTTTTCAAACACTTCGCAGTCAAGCAAACAGTAAAACAATGAGTTGCTTTTAACATAAAATACCACTAAAACCATAAGAAGTGTCAACCTCAAACTTACTAAAACAATGCGAAACATTTCTTCAGTCGGATGTGGATGAAGGGAAGTGTGTGAGAATATGATGGTTGTGTTAATGTGTGAATGTGTGTTTACTTCTGTATCCCAAAGGACACTCAGTTGAAACAATGCATTCTTCTTCCCCTACTCTAAATAACCATTACAATGGAATGCCCAATTCCTAACTTAGACCGAATTTTTAGACAAACCGTTAAAACTAAACTATATCCTAATCCCCAAGACAGCACATTTCCTCATGAACAGGAATTGTTAACTACTTTGTTTAAACATCAGCCATTGATTATATGCTGGAATATAACCAGTAAAAATATGAAGAGGTTTCTAATCCCAACAAGAAGATATACCAGTAAGTAAATATCCATATATAAATATATTAATAGATAAGTGAATGCTTATTTTGTTTCGACTGCTTTGTCTGCAGAAAGCTGCGTTACAAACAGTTAGACATTCTTCCCTAATTATGGAATTCTGGGCAAACACTGTCTAAAGTCTAAAGTTTTTTGTTTTGTTTTGTTTTTACGATGTGTGCTTGTTGCTGCTTATTTGCTTTGTGTGTTTTCAAGTCACTATCAGATCCAAATTCTGACAAGTTGATGTTTGAGCTTCTGCTGATGACGGAAGTTGGAAATGATTCAATTTGAACCAAGCTATAGAAGCAATGGTTAACTCACCTGGTTTTTATTTTGGAGGTTTTCTAATTAAATGTCATTATTAAGCTATTTTGTGGTCATTTAAATTCCTTTTTTTTTTACCAGAACAAACAATTGCTTTCATCTTGATTGTGACTGAACGCAATCTTGTCCTATTAATTCATGCTATCAAAAAAATCACATTCTTTGAATAATCATTTTCTTCCTTTCTTTTCTCCAAGTACTAAAAATTTCAGACAAACTGCATGCCTATTTTCTCTGTATTCCCCATGAAGCTCCCCTGTGCTCTCCACAAAAATGTCTCACTTTACTAAGCTGAGTTTCAGCACATCAAGAAACAAACAATTCTGCTATTAGAGGTCTGGCAAACAGCAAACCTTCTTACGGCAAATTCAAGAGATTAATCTTTCTTTCCAGATTTAACTCAACATCTACGAACCCCAATGGAGAAACCACAAAAACAAAACTTCCATCCATTTGCAAAAACATATGAATTGTCCTGAATTAGCCTATAAAACATCTGAATCTTTTCTTATACATGCAAGATATAGGTAAACTTTGTAACACTCCAATGCATTAAAAAGTATTAACTACTTCCAGTCAATTATTTCATTTTTAGAAAACAATGCTTGCATCTCCAGGGCACCTGCAAGAGCATATTCAGATTATACTTTTTGCTCAATCATAGTGACCTGTCATTTTTGACCTCGCATTGCCCTTACAGTCTGTTTAACGTGCACTTGCTCTAAATCAGCTCTCTTTTCCAATCAACCCAACTTAATCAGGACCATCAAGTGGAAAAGGTTGCTGAAACTTGGACGCAAAAATAAGCAGCCATGTCTTCACATTAGCTACCATTAAAATCATCCTCTGGCATTTGTTTTGCCTTTCTCAAGTGTGGAACACTGATGGAAACAGGCCAGAGCTAGATTGGACTAGCTGCCCCAGAGGATTTCCGAGGCCACACAGACTGGGAGTTGGGTTGCACTTAGCGAAATGATCAAGAAGCAATGGAGCTAGACATTAACAACAACGAAAAAAAAACTTTCTTCAAGAATTATTGTATGGAAAGAGTTGCTGTTTCATTTAAGGAAGTTATTTGAGGCTGCGGTGTGCAGAGTTATGTCAATGAATATTTTCATCAAATGAAGCTCAGATTGTTATAATTAGTGGAAGGTATTTTTGGTAGTTATTTTGTTTGTCAAATGAACAACAAGGAAAGCATTTGCAATGTGAAAGAAAATTGAAAAGTGGGGTCTTACTTGTATGGAGAGGAGCGGTTGAAGCATGTCTTAGTCACATCCGTCACGTTGGGATTGCAGCAATCACCTTGATCGTACATGAAGTTATCCCAATTACATTCAGGGTCACATATCCCATTCCCCTGCTTGTGTTCAGGGCACTGGCTCCAGTATCCAGACATGCAGTCACCTGCATCGTTCCCGGTCAAAGGATGGTTGCATTCAGGGTCACATCTATCATCTCCAACTTTGCTGATATCACAGTTAGCGAGAATTAAGCGGTCACGTAGAGAGGAATTGGTAACGTTGTGAATGCTTAGCTCCCAGGATATGTTGTGTCGACTAAAGGCCTCATTAAGCTGCTGGTGCTGCAGAATGATCTGATGATCTGAAACAGTTGGCCTCCTTCTTGCGTCATCCCAAATATTAATGACACGATATCGCACTCTCTTCGGCCGACGGAAGGTCCAAAGCTGGTTGTAGTTTTTAATAACGTCAACATTGTCGCACACAGTTTGGCCACAAACTGGAGTTTCTAGAGTCGTATCTAACGTTATTTCAGGATTTTTAGCTCCTCCCATTCCGCCTAAAAATCCTAGTCGTCCACCTCCTCCTTTCTCAGACTGAGGAAAACTGCCATCTTTTACAGTCAACCACTTACGGCCCGGATGCTCAAAGGTTTCACGAATGATTAGCTGAGGTAGATCTTCAAGGTCCTCGTGGCCCTGCATATCTCTGATAACATCCCTCTGCTTTCGGGCTTGCCTCCATAAACTCACTCTTTCCACTGCCCCTCTGTAATTGTGATTCAGTGCATTTCCACCAATCATCAGAACTTTGCACTTTTTGGTCAAATGACTGAAGATATCGCCGGACTGTTCTCGGCTAACACCCACTTGGGCTCCATTGATAAAGAGCTTCATGTACAGGCTGTCATATGTGATTGCCATATGTACCCATTGGTTGGGCACATAACGGACATTAGAGTGGATGAAGGTCGCTTTGTGAGCACGGTCAGTTTTAAGGGAGAAGAAGAATCGAGGGTCACGGTTTCCATGTTCACTAACCGCCTGGATACCAAGCAGCCAACCTCGGTCACTGGAGGCATAGAAGCATTTGTCGTACAGGCCTGAAGAGAAAAAAACATGAGTGTATATTAATATTTGTGTGCTTGTTGTATTTCAAAGTTTTAAGGGGATTGTAAACAATCAAAAAAGAAAAGGCATTACAATTTGTTAAGTTTTCTATTATAGAAAACCAAAGGGAGCTAAGCTTTTACAGTAAGCATTGCAAACATGTATATATTTACTAATGCTTGTTTTCAAACCATAACTCTTAAATATTCTACATTCTTCTTCTAGTAGAAAACAAAATATATTCAAAAATTAAAGTGGGAAAAAAAAAGCATCAAACTTTTTTTTTAAAATATATCTAAGGGCGTGCTTTTCTGGAAATTGAGTTGAACTGTATGTTTAACTAAGGGAGACCCCATGGAAACCTTTCCTGTATATGTTTATGTGAACAGTGAGTACATTTAAGCTTGTTCATGTAAACGTCCCTCCAGTGGGGTTTGCCAGAAACAACTAGTTTTCTGCTAAAGCCTTGTTTTTGTAGAGGTACCAAAACACTTTTTTTTTTCTTGTTTCACTTGGACTCTGTACGTCAGCTACAGGATGGTAATGTGTTTTGACTTCTTAGGGGATATCTGAATGCTAACTGTTTGTTGGTTTAGTGCATACTGAAAAACCTTAAAAGGTTTATTGGAGTATGAGCAAATTGTGTGTTCACAGGTGACAGAGCTGGACTCCAGGCTTGAGGCACTTCATGGGCTATTCAGGCAATTAAACCTGTTCACATACAGACACTTAATCTATGACCTACACACCCAGCACTGGGTAAGAAGTGTCCTTAGATATAATTGCCTTAGATGTTGATAACTACTCTTCATACTTATCTCTAGTACTTTTATAATAAAGTGAAGATGATTATCACAGTGATGATCATAGCTTTTTCGCCACCACAAATCCACTAAAAAGCCTTTGTTCCCTATCGATTAGGCTTTTTAAAGTCTGAAGTAAGTGGTTGTGTAATGGTGCACTGACATCTTGTTAACTTTGACTTGTTTCTAATTAGATGCACGAAGCAGTATGCATTCATTATCTCTTTGTGTTGTTATACTGATGTTCAAAGATGGGTTGGGTTCAACATTGAGGTTAGTCCTCAGGTGGGTAATGTTTTCAGGCTTTCCTATAAGATTGAAGAAAAAAGCCTTCTATCTGTCATAATGCACTCATATAGACACTCTAGAAGTACATATATATATATATATATATACACACACACACACACAAGAACAAACCAACAGAAATCAGCATCACGGTTCAACCACTTTGTTAAAGCTGCAGGAAGAGCTCAGATATGCATATTGCCATCAAGGTTAAGCAACGTGATGGCAGATGGAATAAAGGAGTGAGACAGTTTGTTTGTCTTACTGCATGGACCTACAAAGCGGCGGCCTGAAGGCGAGAACAGGATGTATTTCCGTTGGAATACAATTTCCTTACTTTTGCTAAGCACCTGCTTCTCCCACAAGGACTGCAGGTCCCTCTGCTGGACCCCATTTATTTTGGAGCAAACCTTAACAATACTCTGAAGGCTGTTCTTATCCTTTAGCAACAGACCACCAAACCAGTAAATAAAGGAACAAGTTAAAATACTTTCAAAAAAAGACTCATAAAATTTCCTTATATATATTAAAAGAATTTAGCTTCATCTGTGAATGGATTCTCTGCTGACCTCGCTTGGCAATACAGTCAGTGTTCACATGAAATTTTAGTTTGGAATCAAACACAGTTCCCAAATATTTGAAAGAGTTTACAATTTCCACATCTTTTCCACAAATGGAGTTTAGTTCAAGCATGCTCCCATTTTTACTAAAAACCACCACAAGCTCCTTTGTCTTAGAGACATTACGATCATGACAACTGTCATCACACCAGTCCACAAAAGCAGGTAGGGCACCACCATGGTCTGACTCTGAGCCTTGAAGAAGGGTTAACCTTGAACAAGTGCTTCTAGTGTAAACAGCTGTCATGATTCTGCCACGCTCAATTAATCTAACACGCTAGAGTTTTCCAGACCCAACACTGTGACTAGTCACATACTGTATGCACACACACACAGACATACATGCACATACTTATGCAGACAGGCATAAATATATATTCTCAAGAACAAATAAACATTCCCACATGTGCAGATAGATTGAAGAACGCACTGGTGTGCACACAGACACACACATCCACAGACTTGCATGTGCACAAGCACAGTTCCTGTCAGGTTCAAGAGCAACCCTCCTTGCACTTGTCATTTTTCTCCTTTCACAAAAACACACCCAGGAAAAAAAAAGTGTAAAATATGCATACACCCACAGAGAAAAATGTCACAAGGACTTAATAAATAAGCAGAGAAGAAGGGGACAATGAAGACTCCTTTTACTTTTCAAATGTTTTGGCTGTGACAGGTCAAGAAAAGCACTTTTCGTAGTTATCCTGATGTGACCAAAATCAATATTTCTGATCAAGATGGGATTTTCCAGGGAATTTTTAAACACTAACCCTAATAATAAAATAAAATAATATGATAATTTGCAACAAAAAAATTCATCACAAGAATTCCATGTTTCCATCAGGTATCATTTATAATTAATTTGCTTAATATGTGGTTTAAAATCAATAATACATAACTGACTAATAGCTGCAATTTTACCTATTTTTTGTCAGACGATAAAGAATAAAATGACTTTTCCTCCATCTGTATTTCAAATAATGACATTTTCATCTCATAATCCATAAAAATTTAATTTAATATAATTTCTCTGTGTTTAAGCTGTTTGATAAGCCAACTCTAAACACTTATTGCATATTTAAATAGTGCCTGATTGCTGAAAAACAAACCAAAATTACAAATTGGAACTGTGGCTTTTGTTACTAAAAGCAAAATGTCAACCCCTCTTCAAGACTGTACTCACAGTTTTTTTTAATTTTACAAATTTTTATCTTAATATTTGTATCTTTATTTGTTACTGTGTGTTTACAAAGATCCCTTTGGAGTATCAGTGGGGAACAAAACAAAAATCAGACACTAGGGAGCACAAGCCAGTGTATGTCTTGTGCCGGTCCCAAGCTTAGGTGAGGGTTGAGTAAGGAAGGGCATCCGACATGAAACCCTTTGCCAAAACTATAATGCGAGTTCATCTAAGTGACACCATGCGGGATCGGTTGAGGCTGGGGTTAACAACAATCACCACTGGTGCTGTTGACAAACAGAGTGCTGGCAGAAAGTGTTCTACTGTTAGCCGAAAACTACGAGGAGAGAAACATGTCAGGAAACAGAGGGAGAAGAGGAAAGTCAAGAATGTAGGCTGATGGTGGTAACTCTGAAAGTGGGGACAATGACAGGCAAAGGTAGAGAGCTGGATGACATGATGCAGAGAAGGGAGGTAGATGTTGTATGTGTCCAAGAGACCAAGTGGAAAGGCAGCAAGGCTCACATCATTGGAGCAGGGTTCAAACTGTTTAGCAATGGTGTGAACAGGAAGAGAAATGGAGTAGGGGTGGCCCAGAAGGAGAGGTTAGTAAAGAATGTAGTAGAGGTGAAAAGAGTGTCAGATCGGGTGATGTATCTGAATGTAGATAGTAGTAGATAGTCTAACTATGCATGCATCAGGATAAATGGTCTGATGTTAAATGTTGTCAGTGGTTATGCTCCACAGATTGGAAGTAACGTAGAGGCAGGAAGAGACATTTTGGAAGGATCTGGATGAAGTGATAGAGAGTATTCCCAGGGAGAAAAGAGTGATGATTGGAGAAGACCTGAATGGACATGTTGGTGAAGGAAAAAGAGGGGATGAGGAAGTGATGGGTAGGTTTGGTGTCAAAGAAAGAAACCAGGAAGGACAGATGGTGGTGAGAATGGAAATGGCTGTAGTCAACACTTATTTCCAAAAGAGGGAGGAACATAGAGTGACCCACAAGAGTGAAGGCGGTAGTACGCAGGTCGACTACATTCTGTTTAGAAGAGGAAACCGGAGGGAAACTGGGGACTGTAAGGTTGTGGCAGGGGAGAGCGTGGCCAGACAGCATCAGATGGTTGTGTGTAGAATGACTGTTGTTGTGAAGAAGAGAAAAAGAGTAAAATCAGAGAAGACCAAATGGCGGAAGCTGAAGAAGGAAGAATGTTGTGAGGAGTTCAGAGAGGAGCTGTTAAAGGCACTGGGAGGTAAAGCTTCCAGATGGGCAGCTACAGTAACAGTAATTATAGAGAAACGGGTAGGAAGGTACTTTAAATATTATCTGGAGAAAGAAAAGATGATAAGGAAACGTGGTGGTGGAATAGTGAAGTGCAGGAAGCTATTCAGAGAAAGAGGTTAGCCGAGAAGAAATATGATAGTGATAGGATGGAAGAGATGAGACAGGAATAACAAGAGATGCAACTTAGAACAAAGAGGGAGGTAGCTAAGGCAAAGCAGAAGACATTTGGAGTTGTATGGGAGGCTGGACACTAAAGAGGGTAAGAAAGACTTATAGCGATTGGCAAGACTGAGGGATCAGGTTGAAAAGGATGTGCAGCTGGTTAGGCTTGGTAAAAATAGGAATGGTAATGTTCTAATAAGTGAGAAGAGTATGATGGGAAGATGGAAGAAGTACTTTGAGGAGCTAATGAATGAAGAGAATGAAAGGAAAAGAAGAGTCATAGGTCATAGAAACAGTGGACCAGGAAGTGGGAAAGATAAGTGATTGTGAAGTTTGAAAAGCTCCAAAAAGAATGAAGAAGGGGAAGGCAGTAGGACCTGATGACATACCATTGGAGGTTTGGAAATGTCTTGGAGAGATGGCAGTGAGGTTTCCAACTCAAATATTCAATGGCATGTTTGAGGGTGAGAAATGCCTGAGGAATGGAGAAGAAGTGTGATGGTGCCCATTTTTAAGGAGAAGGGTAATGTACATAATTATAGCAGCTACAGGGGATTTAAGTTGATGAGTCACACACTGAAGATCTGGGAGAGAGTTGTGGAAGCAAGACTTAGATTAGAGGTGATTATTTGTGAGCAGCAGTATACCACAGATG